ATATATATAATATAATGATACTATATCTTGAAAACAAGAGCTAATATATAATTTTTATGGTCACTTTCGGTTTTAACACGTGGAAATACATTAAAATTGTTCACTGTTTTGCCGAAGCCAGTTCAACTATTGATTTTACAATAACGGAACTCAGTTGTATATTTTTCAAATATTCGGTCAATTATCAATTATCATCCCAGTCATCATTGGTAAAAAATGTTCAGTTGAAAACCCAATAACTGTATCATACGTTTTTGTAACTTGCCAACGTGGTACACATTAATTTCTTGGTAATACGTAGACTTATTTCGAGTTTTCAAATAATGGTCGAACAACCTTCTCATCAGACACATTCCAATTCTGAGCATAGTTTATAACAAATGTAGTGTCTAATGCTACGTCTCTTTCTTCTCTTTATCTCATTGAGGAAGGTATAGATTCATTGCCTTCGAAAACAATATCGGAGTTCTTCACCATAATAAACTTTAATTATTGTGTACATTTTTTGTTGATCTCAGTGCTTTGCTAAAGTGGTACCTATGCTTCGACATCATAGCCAAATATGAACTATGCCCTCGCTAGCTCTTCCATATCTCTGGTTGGTGGCGGTTTTAATATTTAATACTACTCGAATGATCATACATGTTCTTGGATCATATGAAACTCTGTTATTATCAACTGCCCACATATCTCAACTTTGGTTTTTCCCGTAGCTCTGGGATTCCAACTTGGGAGCAATATTAACCTTACCCATAACCTTCGTAAGGACCGCCAAAGTACTCTTACTGTTTTGTAAGTTGGTTTTTACTACTTCCAAAGCTAGTCAGATGAGTCGCTTGTAGAGTCCATCTCCTTATCTTCATACTGGTGAATATATTCATTCTCCACGAATTGTTCACACTTATGAAGCCCCCTGCTTGATTGCAGTTTTTCCCCTAGGCTCCAACTAGGTACTACAATCCTTCGGTACGGATCGCAAAGAATCGCTTTCTTGATCTCTTCGTTATTTATCTTGTTAATCGCAAAAAATCTGTTCTTGCCATTCTTTGGCATTTTTAATAATTTGATCAATCAGCACCAATGCAACCATTCAATATTTCATTCTTCTTGGCAAAAAAAGTCTTCATGGAAACAAAATAGCGGCTGAGAAATACCCAAAGATACATATTTTGAAATGTCATTAATTAATGATTGTTGCTGATAGTGATTCTTTGAAAAATATTGTTTTTATTTGTTTCAATGATTCAATACTTTATTACTTTATCTTCCTGAGGATTTTTTAGTTTATTTATGAGTAATATTTATAGGCGCTCTAGGAATATTTGAAAATATTTTCTTATTGCACATCTTTGTTTTCAAGTTGTGTTCATCCTGTCTAAACGATGATGTACACAACTATTTGTGGAATAATTCCTTGCAATAATATTGCAATATGATTTGCTATATAAAATTCAATTGTTTCATCCAGTAAGAAGAAACGAGTTGGCATAGTGCATACTTCAAAACTAGAAGAAATTTCTATCTCTGAGTTGGCCCGAAAATGGATTTCCTTGGAAAACTAAGGTCTCAGGAGATTGGAATTTCATCTCATAAATAAAACAAAATCGATTATGGAACATCGACAGGGCTGGATGCTCGCAAACTGAAGTGACGTTAAATGATTGAATAGATTGAATCGCTCGGAATTGATTCCCGTCGAATTTTATTTTTATTCTGGCACGAAGCCTTCGTTGTGACATGGATATTCACAAATTTTGAACGCTGTTCGGTTCACTGGCTTCTGATACAATTTATCTTTATTCTATTTTGGTTTTGGGCTCTTTCATAGGAATCAAATGAATTTTAAAAGAGGTTGAATCAGAAATAAATTCAAAAGTACATCTTATATGCTTTTTTCAGCAGATTTCAACATCTGTTTTACGGTATATTCAGTTTTGAACTGATATTTAATTTTCAAAACAGGGTGATATTGTTACGAGCCGCCACTGACAGTCAACGGAATGCGTCTGCCTGTCGAATATCGAAAATGTATTGGAATCACTGATAAATAATTCCATAGAAGTTTAATGAACAGTTCCAACAACGATCATGTGGTAATCAAGGAAGGAGATGGAAAACGTTCCAGAAATTTTGCCATGGGCGAGGTTCACCAGTTGCTCTCCACTCAGAAGATGATCGTTTTGATTCCTGAGTGAAGTGTCACATATCGATGCAAAAATTCCGGTTTGTTATGTTCAAACATGGCCAAACACTGCTCAGNAAGTTACACGTTCCCATCCATATTTTTATAAATTTGTGCATTTAATTATTTTATTATTTTAATCTGTCTGATATTTTTAAAATAAAAATGTTTTCAACACGAAGAGACTCCTTTTCGAGCCCCGAAGAAGCATTCAATTAAATTCAAAACGTTGGCAAGATAACAATTTTTTTTACAAAAAATGGTCTTGTTAGCCAACTAAATCTTTTGGAAAAAGAAATATTGAATCACTAAACCAGTCGATTGATTTAATTGTAAATCACGGAATGACGTTGATATATTATTGTTTTCCAGCTTCAACCAGAAACAAAAGCAGTCATGAGGTTAATTATGCAAATACCCTTCGTTCTGTCGGCAAATTTGCACGGCGGTGATTTAGTAGCTAATTATCCTTTCGATGAAAGCCGATCAGGAAGACAAAAAGACGAGTATGCAGCTACTCCCGACGATGATACTTTCAGGTATGATTTCCATTTCATAGAATGACTATCAAAACAAAAAGTTGTTATAACCTCAAAATTTTCAAGAGTTAGTAGGTCGACCCATATTGTGAGTATTCAGAAATCCCTAGCGCAGACTTACTAGACGATGTGCAATGGAATAGACGAATAACTCTAATTGTCTTGTGCTGTCTTGTGCTGAAGCATTTACTATGAGCACGGACGGAAAAGGTGTTGTGAGAGTGGTGCCTGTGACATAATGTCTATTCACATTGGATTCAACTAGTTTTAAATAATATCTATTTCGGTATTGATCTCGGGTGAAACTTCTCACTGTCATATCTGTCAGATCGCACTCAGATAGTTTCGTTCATCAATGAGATTTCCAAATCCCATTTGGTGACTTGTGGGGTTCCTTGTGGTTCGGTCCTCTGTCCATTTTGTTTCTGTTTCAGAGTATGGCGAAACGGTAAAAGTATCGAAGCCGACTTAGTTTCAGTTAAAAAACGGTGTGATGCAAATAATGCAATTCATTTCAATACATGGAACACTTCCATTTAAATTTTCAGATGCACTTTGGATGATACTTTTCTATGTCATTAAAATATTAGTTCCAAATCAACAACTAACGGTTTGTTGTTTCTCTTTTGGATGTTTGAGTTTACCTGCATCAATACCTGTCTTGTACATTGAAAGAGTTTCATCTAAGATATGGATTTTTTTCTGGAGAACACCTCGCAAATTCGGGTGAATGCAGTATTTGTATTATTATATTTTTCCCAAAAGTTGTTGATATTAAACTGTGTGTATGGTATTCAGTAAATGTGGTTCCATCATGATATCATTACCAATACCTAAAGTACTGCAACACAAAAAAGATATTATATATATGAAATTTAGTACCCGCTGCGTACGCTGTCATTATTTATTTCAAAGTGTCCTAACTATTTTGACAGTAAATTTTTACAATTTTCTATATCGATGCATATTACTTAGCTCCTAGGGCGCTAAGTGAAGTTGTTGAGAACATTACAAACACCAAGTATGTGGTGTATCTCGTCAAAATAAACAACTTTTTCCTATAAAATATTTATCGAAAAATAATTCGTTTTCGAGATGAAATTGTTCAAAATTTTCAAAACTGTTATTTGTATTTCGAAGACAAATAATTTTCCGATAAACATTTCAAAGAAAAAAGTCGTTTATTTTGACAAGGTCCACCACATANTTATTTCACTATTATTTCATTTCAGGTTTATTTTGGTTAATATAATTCTTATTTTCAGCTATTCATTTTTAATTCTTCTTTTTTAGTTGTTTCAGGGATTTCAAATCATTTTATATAGTAGACAATGGAAGTCCGAACTAGTGAAATAAAGTTTATATTTATCTATGATTTGATATTTGTCCACCTGAATCAAAAAATTAAACAACATATTTTTTTCTTCGCCAAACATTTGGATAGGATAATTTTCATAAGATATTTTTTCAGGTATTTAGCTCTGGCTTATTCCACCCACCATGCAGATATGGCAAGCCAGTCCAGAAAAGGATGCGGAGATATTGATAGTAACCGATTTGCTAAACAAGGTGGAATCACGAATGGGGCCAAATGGTACAGTTTACAAGGAGGTAAGAAAAATCTTTCTTAGACACTCAGATACCTAGCACAACTGTGATATCGAATAAAGCTTGTCTACCACTTATCCGGCACAGCACAGCACGGCCCGTCCCGTCAAAATACGGATAGGATTGGAATAATGAAAATGAATGGACAACGGCCCACTAAGCCCGGCACGGCACAGCCAAGAGCGATCGGAGAGCTGGAAAGGATTCCAGCTCTCCGATCCTGACCGGCAAATAACGGAACGTGCTGTGGCGGACTGACCAAGTGAGTGCGTCGCCGGACAGCGCTTGCCAGCATAAACTAGTCCAAAAGTACCTGAGAAGTTTCTGTCTTTCTGTTGTTTCCATCAGTTGACAGCACAGTGTCAGACTGTACCCATGAAAATGGACGAGGAAAAATTAAGTTGCTTCTTAAGGCAGGCTCTTGAATACCCAGAAGTTCTGAAAATTTGTCTGGAGTAATTCGGAAATACTGGAAAAATTTCTACTCATCTTCTTTCAGATCGTTGAACAGATGACGAAACTCTCCCAGATTTCCCCTCTTTTGATTAATGAGATCTGTTAAAAAATGTGTTTTTCCGTTAATCAGCTGTCGCCCCCATACGAACGACAACTCTCAGAAGTTGAGAAACTTGTGCGAGCTAAGGACTAACGAGGTCTTACCTTTTAACGTGTGATTCCTAACACAGACCCACAACACTATTTTTTGTGACTATTTTCTTCTACATTCAATAATGCGGCCACTATAATGACGACTACTTCGTCAGAACTGCTAGTAATAGGCATGTTTCTGTCACCGCTCGATGTCAAGTGAAATTTCCTTTGAAATCGAACAAACAACACCATCAGTATGCTGGTTGTAGCTGGACAAGTGGGCGATGCTACTACCCGTCGCCATCAGGCGACAGATGTGGCACAGCTGTGCTGTGCCGGACTAGTGAGCGACAAGCTTAAAGAAGCGGTAAAATAAAAAAGCCACAGAACCAAAAAGACCCGTTATAAGACGCAATATCAAGTCCTGGTATTGTTGCGAATGCGGAGCACTTTTTGATGACGATACAGAGCTGGGATATAACAATATCTTCTAATTAAAGTATGGCATAGTAGTCATCAATCGATATGGGTTCTTACATATTCGGTATATTCTGTTATAAATCATCCCCTGACAAAAATAACGTCGGCCGCCGCTGGTCGTCGTAAATGGATTG